ACTATGCAAACTTTATTCGCGTTAATTTATTTAATGTTAATTATCAGACGTTAATTATAATTTCATAGAACCGAGTTGCTTTAATATGCGTTTGGAGTATCGCAAGTTTTGCCTGTATATAAAGCTATATAATTGAAATACATCAAAATTCTCTCTAAGCAGACACTTATCAATAAAAAGAAGGAAAAAAACGCAATTGCAACAGCGAATGTGTGGCGCCAAGTGCGCTCACGCTCCACGAGTTTTACTATCTCATTAAACCTTGCGTCACTTATTACGATCCGCCAAGGATAACAGCTCCTACTCACAATCTACAGGATAAATCACAAGTGCTCGAGAACGATTTAATGACGCATTTGCGCTTTCATGGGATAAAGAATTTTGAGTCATTTTGAGAATGTCATATTTGGCGATTTTTTTAGTTAACCATAAAACTTTACGCTTTACAATTAATACAAAGAAATATTAGAAATTAAATAAAATTTAAAAAATATTTAGATAATACATGAAAAGATAAAGAGAGAAAAAAGAATCCCTCAAAAAATTAATTTTGATTTTTCTCAGAATCCGATTATTATTAAATTATATATATATATGAGATACACAACTAAATATTTAATCGTTAATTTCTTTTTTCTTATAACAAAATAATATACAATTATCTGACCAATGATAAAAGCAAGGACGGAAAGATAAAAATAACGAGGGAAGAAGCGACAAGGACATATATATTTTATATACAGTGTGAATTTTCTCCTTCTCGAGAATAGGATGATATATGGAACAAAAAGTGTAAATTTGCACGGCCAGCTCATCTAAAAACAATACTTTGTGTTATCGCCACGAAAACATCATGACTGAAAGAAAAAAAGGAGTTCCATTATGTTAATTAAACAAGTTGCTTCGTGATGGAACAAAACTTCCTGGTGACGACTCACGATTCAACATGCGGGGAAGAAAACACGGATGACCTCATCTCTCTCTCTCTCGGCAACCTAGTTGCCAAGTGTCGAAAATTTGAAACTTGCGATTAAACTGTGGAAAAACATTGACTATGTGTGTGTACTCGTTGAAGAAAGAGCATCCTATATTGCATAATAAATGGACATCGTGTGACAGATATCCGTTAAGAAGGGGTATTACGATAATAAAAAAAAAAAAAACCACAAAATACAATTTAATCCTTCGGAATCCCCATCGTTAATATTAATGATAGATTCTTTGTTTCCGTGCAGAGCTTGTATAAATTTTTAAGAGGAGGACACTTTAAACATCTTTAAAATTTAAAGGTGTATTGTGTTTGCGTTGATGATAAGAATCCCATTTTTCATTCTTAAATAATCGTTATCTCTGCAAGAATACCTTTCAGAATCCTTATTGATAATTTTTTTTTATCGTTCTTATGCATAGAGCTCAAAGTTACATCCTGTATAATTCATTTTTCAACAAATTCTAATTTCTCGCGCGCATTCTTTGATTAATCCTTAGGAATTTGATGAACTGACTTTTTCGATCATTGTACTGCTTTGTTGAAAAGACGGAACAAGTTCTACAGTGACGGATGACACCAAAGTTTCCGTAGACACGCGCATCCATCTCCCCAAGCATAGGTCTTGGCGATGTGTACCTGGTACAAATATTTCCCAGGGGGTTCACGACGAGCGTGCCCCGGTCGACGTAACGAAGATCCATACAATTATACGTAACCGTCAACCGCTATAATTTATACGCTCGTCGGACAGACCGCGACAATGAAACGGCACGAAAAAAAAAAAAAAAAAAAAAAAAAAAAAAAAAAAAAAAAAAGTCAATTTTTATTATTGCAATTTGTTGCCGGTTAGAAACTAATAAATTTCTGTTTATGACTTTTTTATGTCAGATTATTGTAAGTGCCTTAAAAATCGTGGCGACCGTTACGAGGACCACCCTGTATATGAGAATCACAATAATATTCTATTATAATATCAAAGATCAATATTTCATATTTGCATAAACGTAGCAAAATATGTATCGTAAATATTTTTAGTAGATCTTCCTTTAATAGATTTGCAATTTAATATTTAGTTGCTAAGTCACTTAATATTGCAGATTAAAACGCTTTTAAAAAGCTTTCTATTTACGTATAAAAATTTGTCGGAACGTAATATGAAAAATTCAAGATATTTTCGCATCACTTGTTTGACTTCAAACAATCTGGAGCACAAGTCGGGTACTCGGTGTTCATTTAATTAAGATAAAATGTTTTCTTGGCTCCTCAAGTATCTTACTATCTCGAAAACAAGCGACTCAAGAGTCGCGAAGTTGATATTATTGTTTTCTGCGTCAAAAGCAAGCGGTATTTACATCAGACAAAAGGCAGTACAAAAAAAAAGAAAAAAAAAGAAAGAAAGAAAGAATGAACCGTCGTCTAAAGCGAGAGACTCGCGATCGAGAGTGACGGGGCGTCGTAATTTACGATGGAATCGGGGGAAAGAGATCTCCGCCGAAGCTCTTTTATCTGTCCAGGCATCTCTCACGATTTTTTTTTCATCCTGAACTGTCGAAGTCTTTACACGTCATTGTTAAAGGGTAAGATGATCGCTCGGCATCTCGTCGCACTCCATTCATACGGAGATATAACCTGTCCATTGTGAGGCTCTCGTGATGACCGTGCAATTCGAAATCGTCACGTTTAAATTTTCGATTTAAAGAAAAGAAAAGAAATAGCACGCGCGATTCTAACATTGTTTGTTCACAACATCCATTCTATTAGCTGACTAAATTAAATTATTTTCACGCGAAATTTCTCTTAAAAAATGTATTTAGCGATTTTACTATCGACGGTTTAGATTGTTCAAATATTAGAAAAAAAGGTAAATAACAGTATATCAAACGAGCCGATCAAGTCTCGGCTTTCAGTTTCTACTATAGAAAGGGAAAGAAACACGTCTGGGAAAGAGAACAGCCGTGTAAGGTAAACGTTGGAAAGTGAAACGTATCAGCGAACGGTACTTTTCCAGCATCCTTCTCCTCCCTTTCCTCTCTCTCGTACGACGCTTGTTTATAAATTGTGGCCGACGACGCTCGTACCGTGTAAGGCGAAGAGACAACGAGGAGGAAAGAAAGGAGAGGAAAACGAGATGTTTCGAGGCGATTCGACGAAACCGGACCCCGTGCGACAAAGAGGAACGAGATAAGAGACGGAAAGAAGAGAAGAAGACGCGCAGCTCAACGAGCTTCGCGGGTCATGAACGGACGATCGAAACGAAAGGGAGAACACTCGAGGAGAAAAGGTCAGAGAGAGAGAGAGAGAAGGGAGAGCAGCCTCTCTCCTTTACAGCAATTTGGCGCGAGATCCACGTCAGGTACCAGCGAGCGAGGTCGAGCGAGCAATTTCGAGAAAAGTGGTCGGCGTCTGTAATAGACCACCGGCTCTGACTTATATACAGGTCCCTTTTCCACGAGTCCCCCTCTCTATCCCTTCGACTTCGCGAAGGCTACGCTCGCGTTCTATTGTTGAAGAGGTCCTCTTCCGGAGAGCATCTCGGGCGCCCCTAACAGGTGCGCGGAACGAACGTTTGCTCAGGTGCAGTGACGAAGAAGAACCTTCTTCGAGTTCGTACTCGAGAAGAAACCGAGACTGCGGAAACTTTTCAAGGTTGTTCGCGTACACAAAAACGAAAAGTGCGACAGAAATTATATCCCAGGAGATATCTCGAGGAAAATCGTGAAAAGTTGAAAAGTATTTTTTTATTTAAAAAAAAAAAAAAAATCAATGTCTGCTACATTTTCAGGATATTGTAAAATCACAAAATCATAATTGAGATGATCAATAATTTCTTACAACTCTTTTACGATATAAAAGTTTTCTCGAATCCATTTATGAAAAATTTTAAACATCGATTTAATTATATATAATCTTTAATTATTACAATAAAAGCTTTCTTGGAAAAAGTTTTATAATAATTTCTCAAAACGATTTTATGATATAAAAGTTTTCTAGGATTAAGTTTTGAAATTGTATTTAAATCGGCTTAATTATATATAAATCCTTAATTGTTGCAATAAAATCTTTTTTGAAAAAAATATAATAATTTTTTTAAATTCTTTTATTATGTATAAGTGTTCCAGGATTAATTTTTGAAATAATATTTAAACATCGGCTTAATTATACATAATCTTTAATTGTTGCAATAAAAACATTTTTGGAAAAAATTTAAAAACAAGATATCTACTGCTCGGAAAATCTGGCTCTATATAAACTCGATTCGACATAATCATGTCCAAAAAAAAAAAAAAAAAACCATTAAAACCTTTTTTATATTTTTAATGAGAGGACGATTCCAAAGATATACCGAGTGCGATAATGTAATCAAAGCACGTTGTTTCAATTTTATATTACACAAATAAATTTGATCAAAACACGATAATTTGTTCAAAGATAAACTATTATCACTTGGAATAATCTCCGACATCAAGTTTCTCTCGATATGATTCACGTTTAAACGCAAACGCAAATGATTCATCGCTGACGAATTCAGCGCATGCAGATGCAATTATACGTGCGGATCGTCCGTCAGGAAATCGTGCCGAGACGCGCAACAGGACGCGTATCGTCAGGAACAAAAGCGAGGAAACTGAATACCGCGACAGGTAAAGGTCGGACAGACGGTTGGCAGCGGCCGTTTCGAATTCAAACGAAAGCGCGCGCGGGCGTCAAATTCAAATTGGCGAGCGCCCGTTAATCGCGCGCTCATCGCACCGCGTATCGAATATTCGGCAACGGTACGAGACGATTAACCACCTGCTGAGTGTACTCGCGTGCCCGATTGTGCGTCCGTTCCTCTCTGTCTCACGCACACACGGTCACACGCACATACTTTTTACATCCAAGCGCGGTGAACGGTACGGCACAGGAACGGTTGCGGTGAGAAACCGTGCGCGAGATTTCTTCGATGGCGGATTCCACGGTCAATCGCGCGATCCTGACGTGCACGATCCGAATATCCTGACGTGCTTACCTGTTAGCTGTAGCAACAGGACGGCGATCGCGAAGCAGGCGGGACGGTCTGCCATCGTGACGTGCGCTGTTCGCTGCCTCTTCTTATTTTCACTCTCCTCGGGAGAAACGAGTCTTTCGTTCTTCACCGTTCACACCGTTCGTTTTTTTTTCCTCTCCTCTTTCGTCGCGCCTTCACTGACACCACACGCGATCGACGGAGATCGGGATCGATCGAGAAAACCGCTAAACGGGACTACGCATTCTTACGTACTTCGCGGATTGACTATAATAACACGTACCGTATGTCGCACGTCGCGTCGTCGCGCTGGCCGATCTCGAACTGTGACTGTTGCGGGGCGAGTCACGTACGCGCGCTCGGCATGGCCTTCGGCCGCGCTCGGCTATCTCCGCCCCTCTCCGCCGACGTCACGGTCCCCGTCCGGCACGCAGGTACGACGCGAGGCAGAGTAGGGGAAAAAATGTCGGCCGATTCGCGAGCACGCACGCACGATCTTCCGCGGAAAAATCTCTCTCTCTCTCTCTACTAGAAATTCGCACCTTCTCCTGCTATATCCTTCCTGGTAATATCCTTCCACGATGTAAGTTGACTTTATATTTTCTCGATACTGTCTTAAACGGCCAAGTCTTTTTAATCGACAAATTGTATTTGTAACACGATCTCTCGCACTTGAAACGTAAACTTCGTCGTATTGAAGGTACGACGCGAGGCAGAGTAGGGGAAAAAATGTCGGCCGATTCGCGAGCACGCACGCACGACCTTCCGCGGAAAAATCTCTCTCTCTCTCTCTCTACTAGAAATTCGCACCTTCTCCTGTTATATCCTTCCTGGTAATATCCTTCCACGATGTAAGTTGACTTTATATTTTCTCGATACTGTCTTAAACCGCCAAGTCTTTTTAATCGACAAATTGTATTTGTAACACGATCTCTCGCACTTGAAACGTAAACTTCGTCGTATTGAAAAAAAAAATTTCGGCCGAAAATTCTCTCAAGGTTGCCAACCGAAAGAAATTTATCTCGTTAAACGTATTCTGTGTCACAAATACAATTTCTCTCGTCGAATATACGAGAGTGGAATCGGTTGGAATTAATTCCGAGTTTAATTGCGAGTTATATTTACATTTACGTATTTCACACGATATCCTTCCACGACGTAAGTTGACATTTTTTTTTCTCGATACTATCTTAAACCGCGAGGCCTTCCCAATCGACAAATTGTTTTTGTAACACAATCTCTTGCACTCGAAATCAAAACTTTGTCGTATCGAAAAAGAAAATTCTCTCAAGGTTAAAAGTCGAAAGAAATTAATCTCGTCGAAATTATTTTGTTACAAATAAAATTTCTGTCGTCGGATACGAGAGTTGAATCGATTAAGGTTAATCTCGAGTTTAACTGTGAGTTATTACGTACATTCTCAAAGCTCTACGTATATATTCACACGCTATACAACAGTAAAGTGTTAAAGCGAGAAGGTTACTTCCTTCTGTTATTCTTTGATTTCGATTGAGAATTTGAGAGGCGTACATAAACACGTATGTTGTTTACAACTTAGATTAGACTATATACGCGTTAGTTTAGATTCTTTTACACGTAGGGGTCCGATATTGGCACGTTACCTTCCATATATATATCGACTCTTTCTCGATCGACCATTTATTTTCTCTCCTACGTCGCTGCATCGTACGCTCGTAAACACGGGTATAACACACTTTCCCAAACGAATATAAATCTCCCGACAGCGAGGGATTTTTGTTCATAGGATATATATACAGCAATCTTGTTTTTGGAATTTGTTTCGCTCTATGCTCTGCCCGCAGGCATATGCAAAAATCCGCGATTTATGACAGCGGCTTATATGTAGTTGCCGTGGATAACGTTGGGTATCGATGCAATATGCTCTAGTGATAAAAAATGAATACTAATCAGCTCACCACGGCAGGGCAACATGAAATAAGATTGATAGATTTTAGCTTAAACAACTGTAGTTGGCATCTTATTTCAAACCAGCAAAGTAAATTGCCAAAAAAATAATAAATTATAAATATATATATATATATATTTAGAATTCTCTGCTTTTTTCTTCTTCATCCTAATGTTTTTCAATTTATTTTACATTGATGTCAATCACAGTTATTTAGGCTCAAGTTTATCAATCTTTTTCCACGTTATTTACGCCGAGCTGATTAAATAATATTCATTATTATATATATATATTACGTTATCGCATATTCTATTATCTAATAGGATTAAATGATGATTAAATTTGCTGTGATTATCCGAGAAATAATGGTACAATTCATAATCAATTATGAAAAGATCTGATAATATATGTAATTTTATATGATATTATAATATTATATAAAATATGTTATCAGATCTTTTTATAACTAATTATGGATATTTTTACATCTGACTATATTATACCATTTTTAAATGTTACGCGGATTTTTTATGGCTCAATTAATTTCCGAAATTCGTGGCGGAGGTATAGAAATTTACGTTATTATTGTGTCACGTCATCGTTTGAATTCCTTCGTTGCCACAAAGTTTACGATACGTCGGTTTTTCTTATTCACGATAATCATAATTGTCTAAAATTCCAAAGATTGATAACACATCTTGTATTTACGCAGAATAAATTCGTACAAATATTGCCACGGTATTAAGGTCCGTAATTACGTCTCTCTCATGTACACAATTACACGAAAGCTTATGGCGCGCAAATATAACGCGGTTTATTTCGAGTTTACATAGGAACATGTATGATGTATGGAAATATATAGAATTGGAAAATCAAAGTCGTTATGTCACGTAGAAGAATGGACAAGTTTTCCTCACAAGAGGGGTAAAAAAATTTTCAAATTAAAATATTTGTAAAAGAAATAAAGGTCTGCTAAAATATTATATATTTTCCGAGAACAATCAAATTGATAATTTAATTTATACGATAAGTTTAAAAACCGCAACATATTTTTTTTCCATTATTTTTATTATTATTACGTTATTAAAATTTATTAATATCATTGTGGCAAACCAATCGACGCGAAGCAATTATCTTTCAATTACTTTGTTCCGGTACACGCGACGCGACGTCACAATTTCGAAGTGATGCTGCTCCGATGCAGCCTCGAGTGTCCCTCCCCTTTTATTTATTTCGACAAGTATACAAAACCCCATCACCGGTTACGGCTTCAACGTCGTCTTTTCTCTCAAGAGGGTCGTCCTTTTCCAAATAAACCTGCCGACCCTCGCGTGGTATATACGGTTCTGGACCCTCGGCGTCTTTCGTGACGCGAGAAAACGCGTCTTATGACGATGATCCAGGAGACGAAGAAAGAGCAAGAGATGCAGACAGTCGACGCTTCGCTTGTTTATCATTTGTCAGCGGTCTGTTTACACCGAAGGCTACAATCGCGGACAAGGGATGCTCTCACGTCTTTTTTTTTTTTCCGTCGCGTGAAGTCGAGTGATGACGTTCGTTCTGTCCTTCGTAACGTCTGTGTATTGATCGATCGCCTGGCAATAAAGAGGCCCGTGCTTGTTAGGGGACGATTGATGGGCGTTTAAGTCGAAAATTGAGCATCATTTTTATTAGATTTTTGGAAAAAAATAAGAGCTTCGTCACATATATACACGTGGCTTGAATGATGATATTCGATACGTCAAAAATCGTGCGAAACTAATTGAATCGCTGTCCACGATTATTTTGAAATTTGTAGCCTTGGCATTGTATTTACAATTCACTAGCGAAATAATGACAGGTTCCGTTTTTAGTGTTACTAATCCATTCGAGGTAAAACGAGGCGCGTCTGCTAAGATGACAGATCGTAATTCTCGCGCGCGGCGTCTGCTTAAACACGGCGCTAAGGTTTTATCGTCTTAAAGTTGCCCTTAGAGAAGCCGTCACGCCATTCAGTGGTTTTCCAAAGGTTTAGGAAGCGCCCCGAAAGTAAATCTCGTTTCATCCAAGTGCTCGGCGCTTTTCATAACGATAGATATTTTTTTTTTTTTTGCGGCAACGAGCCATCTTTATTTTAGTAATAAAACGAGGTAATAACAGAATAATGGTTTAATTTTTAGTAATTTCTGCAGTTTTATTCGTTAAAAATACAGTATTCTTGTTTTCCAATATTTTAAAATATAAATATAAATTTGAGCGAAAGAAACAATATTTTTTAGTATAAATATTAACTTCTGTATACAAAATCAGATAATTTAAAAAGTATTTGCATATTGTGATACATTTTTCAATTTATTAGAAACTAGCGAAATAATGGAAAAAAATTGTGAAAAGAAAAGGAAATTATATATCGATGTGATTAATTTCACTTTTTTGTATATATATATTTAGATTTTCAATAGAATTTATAGACAAATTTGCAAAGAAATCATTTGATATAAATTTCTGTGTTTTCTATAAAGGATCAATTCGTAAAATTATCCGTCTGCGTTTTCATTGTTCTCTAATTGTCTCGCTTAATCTTTCTGTCGCGCATTACGTTGACAAAGATTAATAAACGCTCATCGCCAGATCGTCGATCCTCGCGCACACATTGGAATTATAAACAAAGAATAGGAAAGTGCAAACAAATCAAAAGAATAGATGTCAGGTCAAATAATATCTTAAAAAATATTTGTATTTTTCGTCTAAAATCGACTATTAAACACTTGAATCTTTCTAGATGCATAAAAGAAAAGAGTGTCGAAAGCTCGTAAGAGGGATAAACGGCAGGAAGGAAGGGTGAGAGATGCGAGACATAAATTTATGAGGGACAAATGATGTGCCCTTTTTCGTCTTTAAGAGCGCGCGCGCGAGATTGCTATTAAATTAAATATTTATTCCACCATCTTTCGCCAGAAAACCGACGGATTCTTCTCGGTAAATAAACGAAAATATTTCGTAGTTTTTATCGAATCATCGATTTCTATTGGCAGGTTGAAATATATTTAAGAAGTTACGTTTCTCCGATTTTATATATATAATACGCAATCGATTCATTACGTTGATATAAAGTAATAGTATGGATTACGAGGCACATTTATAAAAGAATCTGAGAAAAGGCAAGATTTTCCCAAGGAAAAAGGACTACCTATGAATTAGATTCTCGAATCTCAGTAGATATTCAAAGATGTTCGAGGAAATGAAGCTGCCAGTTTCTGAATTGGAAGTCCGACTCGATAAGAGAATCTGTGCAGAATAAAATGGTTAAATTCAGAAATCTGATTCATGAAATCATATCCTGTTCTATTCTAAATCAGATTTCTGAGACTCGCGTTCCTTTCCTTTTTCGAATATCTTTGTGAAAATTCTATAAGAAATATATCTCTCTTCTCCTACGTCAAATCGATAACGTAACACATTAAACATAGTTAGAGAAGTGCTCATCTGTGTTTTGTACGTGATTGTATTTACGTACAATTACCGACGTACGAACAAAGTTTTCCCGTGTAAAGAGGAAAAACTTTGGTTGAAGAAAGGAGGGAAAAAGTAGGAATACGAAGGAACGTAAGGCGAAATAAATGGTCGCAATGAATCATTCCTGGTATCAATCTTCAGGAAGGCAACTGGAAAGAAAGTAGATGAAATAGTACCTTTCGCGGAGGGAAAAGAGGGGGGGGGGCGGAGAGACACAGCTGTCTGCGATTTTATCCCCGTGGAAAATTTGGATTCTGCCGGAAACGAAACGAGATGCTCTTACATCTTCGCGTTGCGAACGACGTCTCATTTAACGCTCGTGTCTCACGTTGCAATTTTATATTTTCTCGAGAATCTCCGAGAAAGCCTCTGTCTCATTCTTTTGTTCATTTTCATTTTCCGATCTGACTCGATTCGCGAGTAGTTTGC